GGGAAATCCGGGCCAGGAGCTCGTTCTGGTCGCCGGCGGCTCCGGAGCCACCGCTCTGGAAGGAGGAGGAAAAGCGGGATGAGGCGGAGCCGGTTCCGCCCCTTTTCCCGAAAATTCCACGCGGCAAAGCCCGGGGGGGGGGGAGGGGAAGGAGGGAATTTGAAGAGCTTGAAGTAAAAACGTGGATGTTTTCCCCTCAAAGGGTTTTATAAAATCGGGATGAGGACTAAAGGATGGGATAAATCCCGAGGGATCCCAGGCACTAAGGATAACGTGGCTTTTCCCGCTCTTTTGCCACGGAAAACATGGAAAACTCGACCCCAAATTTCACACCAAGCCCCCTTAAAAATCTTGGAATCCCTCAGTCTCCTCTCCCAAAAACCAAGGCATGGGAGAGTCACTGGGAAAGGCGGGAAGAGATCCCAGGATTTCTACGTTCCCAAATTCCCGGCCCAGCTTTTCATTCCTAACAATTTAAACCAAATCCCAAGGGAATAATGTTATCCCGAGGATTCCAATGGATTTTTTTGGGAGGCAATAAACAGCTTTTTGGTTTGTTTTATTAAGGAGGTTCCTTATCCAGCGATTCCGAGGAGCAAAGGGAAGGAAAACGACGGGATTCGTGCTCGGAGAGTTTTGTTTCCAAGGGAATAGAGACGGGGGGAATAATTTATCCCGCACGGAATTCCAAGGAGATCTCACTTGGGATGGAGAGAGGGGAGAAAACAAGGTCTGGATCCCAGAAATCCAGGAATGGTTTGGGGTGGAAGGGACTGGAAAGATGATCCCGTTCCCATGGAAAGGGAGGGAAAACTTCCACCATCCCAGGCTGCTCCAACCCGGCCTTGGACACTTCCAGGGATGGGGCCGGAGATTCCTGGAGCGGGAAGGTCTCCAGGGAGAGCCTTCTCCAGAAATTCCACCTTTTCCAGCCTCGGGAATTCCGGCGCGAATCCCCAGCTGTGGAACCAGGAGATCTCAAATCCCGGGATCTCAGCCCCAGGATTATCCAGGAGCCAGAAGGGAGGTGGGAGAGGCGGATCCAAGGGAATAGAAAGGGGGGGAATAATTTATCCCACATGGAATTCCAAGGAGATCTCACTTGGGATGGAGAGAGGAGAGAAAACAAGGCCTGGATCCCAGAAATCCGGGAATGGTTTGGGGTGGAAGGGACTTGGAAGATGATCCCATTCCCATGGAAAGGGAGGGAAAACTTCCACCATCCCAGGCTGCTCCAACCCGGCCTCGGACACTTCCAGGGATGGGGCCGGAGATTCCTGGAGCGGGAAGGTCTCCAGGGAGAGCCTTCTCCAGAAATTCCACCTTTTCCAGCCTCGGGAATTCCGGCGCGAATCGCCGGCTGTGGAACCAGGACATCTCAAATCCCGGGATCTCAGCCCCAGGATTATCCAGGAGCCAGAAGGGAGGCGGATCCAAGGGAATAGAAACGGGGGGGGAATAATTTATCCCGCACGGAATTCTAAGGAGATCTCACTTGGGATGGAGAGAGGGGAGAAAACAGGGCCTGGATCCCAGAAATCCGGGAATGGTTTGGGTTAGAAGGGATTGGAAGATGATCCCGTTCCCATGGAAAAGGAGGGAAAACTTCCACCATCCCAGGCTGCTCCAACCCGGCCTCGGACACTTCCAGGGATGGGGCCGGAGACTCCTGGAGCGGGAAGGTCTCCAGGGAGAGCCTTCTCCAGAAATTCCACCTTTTCCAGCCTCGGGAATTCCGGCGTGAATCTCAAATCCCAGGATCTCAGCTCCAGGATTATCCAAGGAGCCAGAAGGGAGGCGGGAGAGGCGGATCCATCCCTAAGGAATGGGAAGGAGCCTCCTCATCCCAACCGGATCCTGTCCCGTTCCCTTGGAAAACTTACGGAGGAGCGTCCCGGCTGCTTCCGGGCACGGCCACAGGGAATGTCCCGGCTCCGAGCGGGAGGAGCAGGAGCAGGAGGAGGAGGAGGAGGAGGAGGAGGAGTCTTCTGCTGCAGGGAGCGGAAAAGTTTGGGAAGAGGGGAAAAGTTTGGGAAGGCAGGGAAAGTTTGGGAAGACAGGAAAGGTTTGGGAGGAGGGAAAAGGTATGGGAACACAGGGAGAAGTTTGGGAAGAGGGAACGATGTGGGAAGATGGGAAAAGTGTGGGAAGAGGGGAAAGGTTTGGGAAGAGGGGAAAAGTTTGGGAAGAGGGGAAAAGTTTGGGAAGACAGACGGGAAAAGTTTGGGAAGATGGGAAAGGCTGGGGAAAGGTTTGGGAAGAGGGGAAAGTTTGGGAAGAAGAGAAAGTTTGGGAAGGTGGGAAAAGTTTGGGAAGACAGGGAAAAGTTTGGGAAGAGGGGAGAAGTTTGGGAAGAAGGAAAACTGGGGAAGAAGGAAAAGTTGGGGAAGATGGGAAAAGTTTGGGAAGAGGGAAGAAGTTTGGGAAGAGGGGAAAAGTTTGGGAAGGCAGGGAAAGTTTGGGAAGACAGGAAAGGTTTGGGAGGAGGGAAAAGGTTTGAGGAGAGGGGAAAAGGTTTGGGAACACAGGGAAAAGTTTGGGAAGAGGGAACGATGTGGGAACAGGGGAAAAGTGTGGGAAGAGGGGAAAGGTTTGGGAAGAAGGAGAAGTTGGGGAAGATGGGAAAAGTTTGGGAAGAGGGGAAAGGTTTGGGAAGAAGGGAAAAGTTTGGGAAAAGTAGGGGGAGATGGGAAAAGTTTGGGAAGATGGGAAAAGTTGGGGAAAAGTTTGGGAAGAGGGGAAAGGTTTGGGAACACAGGGAAAAGTTTGGGAAGACAAGAGAGTTTTGGGAAGAGGGGAAAAGTTTGGGAATATGGGAAAAATGTGGGAAGATCGGAAAAGTTTGGGAAGAGGGGAAAAGTGTAGGAAGGTGGGAAAGGTTTGGGAAGACGGGAAAGGTTTGGGAAAAGTTTGGGAAGAGGAGAAAGGTTTGGGAAGGCGGGAAAAATTTGGGAAAAGTTTGGGAAGATGGGAAAGGTTTGGGAACATGGGAAAAGATTGGGAAGAGTTTGGGAAGATGGGAAAAATTTGGGAAGAGGGAAAAGTTTGGGAAGAGGGGAAAAGTTTAGAAAGACGGGAAAGGTTTGGGAACATGGGAAAAGATTGGGTAGAGTTTGGGAAGACAGGAAAAATTTGGGAAGAGGGAAAAGGTTGGGAAGAGAGGAAAAGTTTAGAAAGACAGGAAAGGTTTGGGAAGATGGGAAAAATGTGCGAAGATGGGAAAAGTCTGGGAAGAAGGGAAAAGTCTGGGAAGGCAGGAAAGGTTTGGGAAGAAGGAAAGGTTTGGGAAAAGTTTGGGAAGATGGGAAAAGTTTGGGAAGGCGGGAAAAGGTTTCCCCACTCGGAGGCAGCTCAAGGGTGGGAAAGATCCACATGCAAGGAAAAGTCTTGGAAAAGTCTTTGGAGCGGGAGGGACGCGGAGCACCCGGAGCACAAACATTCCTCCAGGAATTCCGGAGGCTTCTCTTGGATCTCAACTAAAGGAGCAGCTCCGGGATGGAACAAATCCCGAGGGATTCCAGCTGGCACTGAGGATAAAGTCGCTTTTCCCGCCCTTGGATCCCCAAAATGCCACGGAAAACATGGAAAACTCGACCCCAAATCTCACACCAAGCTCCTTAAAAAAATCTTGGAATGGCTTGGAATCTCTTGGAGCCTGCGGGAAGCTCCTGCAGCCCTCGGGGATCGTCCCATCCCTGGGGCACCGGGGATAAAAATCATGGAATGGCAAAGGCAGGAAGAGCCTCTGGAGTCCATCCCGGTGTTCCCTCGATCCCTGTTCTCAGGTGCCACATCCATGTCCCAAATCCTGGGATCCATCCCAAAGCCTGGGATCCACAGGGATCCACGATCCCCCCGGGAATGGCGGCGACTCCGCCCTCGGGCCGGGGTGAAAATTCCAGGAAGGAATTTTCCCAGCATTCCACCGGAACCTCCCCCGGAACAACTCGAGGCCGTTTCCTCCCATCCCGTCCCTCGTTCCCTGGGAGAAATTCCCAAATCCCACCCGGCTCCACCTTCCCATCAGGGAATTTTTGGGAACAAGGTCCCTCCTGATCCCGCTTTTCTCCAGGATGAGCCTTTCCAGCTCCCTCAGGAAGTTTTCCAAACCCTTCCCAGCTCCGTTCCCATCCCTGGACACGCTCCAGCCCCTCAGGATCTTCCTTGGCATTAAACATTCCCAGTATATCCCAAAAAATCCCTGATCCCAGGATTTGAGGGGCCTCAGCACAGGGAGAGGACACTTTTATTCCCCGTTAATGATAATCCCACAAAAAAAGAGGGAAGAAGGAAAAGATTCAAGGTCTCCAACTGGAATTCCTCCCTTTCCCAAATCATGGAGCAAGAGGCACATCCAGGTCCCAAAAATCCTGGGATTTGGTCAAGCCACAAGCTCAGAAATCATGGAAAAGTTGCCTCTGGGGGATCTTCCCTGAGGGAAGGATGATCCAAGCCTTGGGAAAACGGGAGCACCAGCCCAAATCCCACATTCCCTGCAGTCCCGTTTTCCCCAAAAGGAACATCCCAGCAGGAAAAAAAAGGGCGGGAAAAGCCCAACTCGAGGAATTTTCACCCAAATCCAGGGATTTTCCTTCCCATAAAGCCATTTATGACTTTAATATTTCAGCTTCCTCTTGGAAAAATTGGGAATTTTAAGAGTGTTATCCCTACTCAGCACAAAACCACATTCCTGAGGGAATTCCTGAGCTCCCACGGGAAGCTCCAGCAGCCAAGTTGAATTCCCTGGAAAACCCCATTTCCTTTTAACAGCCCCTGGAAACAGGGAAGAGAAGGTGGATCCCAGGGGATCCCAAAAACCCCACATTCCAGCACTTCCCTCCTCAGCCAAGACCTGTGGGAACATCCCAGCAGGAAAACAAAAAAAAGGCGGGAAAAGCCCAACTCGAGGAATTTTCACCCAAATCCAGGGATTTTTACCCCTAGTACAACACTTTTTAATTGGATATTTTGGCTTCCTCTTGGAAAAATTGGGAATTTTCACAGTCTTGTCCCTATTCAGCACAAACCCACATTCCTGAGGGAATTCCTGAGCTCCCACGGGAAGCTCCAGCAGCCAAGTTGAATTCCCTGGAAAACCCCATTTCCTTTTAACAGCCCCTGGAAACAGGGAAGAGAAAGTGGATCCAAGGGGATCCCAAAAATCCCCCACATTCCAGCACTTCCCTCCTCAGCCGAGACTTGTGGGAACATCCCAAAAAAAAGGCGGGAAAAGCCCAACTCGAGGAATTTTCCCCCCAATTCCAGCAGTTTGGAAGCTCGGGATGGGCCGGAGCAACACCAGCATTGCTCCCCCTTGCTCTTCCCTGCCTTCCCAAGGAGCCAGGGAAGGTGTGGGGAGCCGGAATTCCAGGAAAAAGCGGGAAGCAGGCAGAGCCAGCCGGGGGAGGGGGGGTTTACTCACCCCTTCCAGGGATTTCTGGATGTTCTCCCTGGCTCTGGCGATGTCCCGCAGGATCGTGCTGGCTCCGTTCTCCTGCAGACAGCGGGGAAAGAACCCACAGATTCCTTGGAAAACTCACCAAAAAAAACCAGGAAAAGCGAGCAAAAGGAGGGAAGAACCGAGAGGGGAAAGCGGGAATCATCCCGGCCGCGATCCCAGCGGGATTTGCCGCCCGGAGCGACGGAACCCCCGCTAGGATCAGCCTGGAAAAGGGGGTTGGAATTGCCCTGGAAGGTTGGGAAAGGTGCCAGAGGGTTGGAGTGACTCCAGGATTCCCTAAAAATCCAGCCCCAGGCAGATCTTTTCCATAAAATTCTCTGTACTCAGGAAGTGACAGCCCTGACTCCAAGTCTTGTATCCAGACCCAAAATTCCAGCACACAAGGAATTTTTTCCCTCTGCTCCTGCCTGGAAAACTTGGAAAGCTGCCAAAGGGTTGGAATGACTCCAGGATTCCTTAAAAAGGGTTGGAATGACTCCAGGATTCCCTAAAAATCCAACCTCAGGCAGCTCTTTTGGAATATTCCCTGTGTCCAGGAAGTGACAGCCCTGACTCCAAGTCTTGTATCCAGACCCAAAATTCCAGCACACAAGGAATTTCTTCCCTCTCTTCCTGCCTGGAAGGTTGGAGTGACTCCAGGATTCCCGAAAAATCCAGCCCCAGGCAGTTTTTTTCCATAGGATTCCCAGAGTTCAGGCAGGAAGTGAAAGCAGATCTTTGGGAATATTCCCTGGGTCCAGGAAGTGACAGCCCAGACTCCAAGTCCAAAATTCCAGCACACAAGGAATTTTTTCCCTCTGCTCCTGCCTGGGGTTGGAATTATTCTAGTATTCCCTAAAAATCCAGCCCCAGGCAGCTCTTTTCCATAAAATTCCCTGTATCCAGGCAGGAAGTGACAACCCTGATTCCAACCCTGTATCCAGACCCAAAATTCCAGCACACAGGGAATTTTTTTTTTCCCTGTTTTCCTGCTGCCAGAACTTCCCCTGGATTTAAAGATCCCCTTCCCAGAAATTCCCTGCTCCGTTCACTCCCTGCCTCTTCCCAAAATTCCGACCTCACAGGCCCAACCTGAGCCGGGAAAACTCCTCCCAGGTCCCAAATCCCGGGATAAAGAGGCAAAGGAAAAGAGGGATAATCCTGGATACGTCCCAGTGGGAAGCACCTGGGGAGGTTTTAAGGAGCGTGGGGATATTTTTCCAGGGGGAAAAGGGTTGGGAAACTGCTGCAGGACCTCCAGGAATCCTTCAAATCCCAGGGAAAACTCCTCCCCCGGGAAACTTGGAATATTAAACACTTCCAAGAGGTTTTTCCATCCCTAAAAATCGACTCCCAGGACTCATCCAGAGCTTCCCAGTTTTTATTACTGGCAGGAATAGCCAAAACCAAATCCCTGTCGATCCATGGGGGAAAAAAAACCTTTGGAATTGTGTGGGAAAAATCCCTGGCACTACAGAGAAAAATCCCTGTCAATCCATGGGAAAAATCTCTGGCACTACAGGGAAAAATTCCCTATGGAAAAATCCCTGGCACTGTATGGAAAAATCCCTGGCAATCCACGGGAAAAATGTTTGCACTACAGGGAAAAATCCCTGGAAAAAGATCCCTGGCACTGCAGGGAAAAATCCTTGGAAAAAAACATTGGTACTACAGGGAAAAGCTCCCTAAAAAAAAATCCCTGGAAAAAAAAATCCCTGGCACTCCAGGGAAAAATCCCTGGCACTATATGGGGAAAATCCCTGGAAAAAAAATCCCTGGCACCACAGGGAAAAATCCCTGGAAAAACAGCTCTAGCACTGCATGGAAAAATCTCTGGCACTAGGAAAAATTCCCTATGGAAAAATCCCTGTCAATCCATGGGAAAAATCTCTGGCACTACAGGGAAAAATCCCTGGAATTCCAGGAGAAAAACCTTTGGGACTATGTGGGAAAAATCCCTGGAAAAAAATCCCTGGCACTACAGGGAAAAATTCCTGGCACTCCATGGGAAAAATCTCTGTAACCACATGGAAAAATCCCTGGCACTGTGGGAAAATCCCTGGAAAAATATCTCTGGGACTACAGGGAAAAATTCCTGGCACTCCATGGGAAAAACACTGGCACTACAGGGAAAAATCCTTGGAAAGACATCCCTGTCACTCCATGGAAAAATACCCGGGACTCCATGGAAAAATCTCTGGAAAAAACTCCCTGGCACTAGAGGGAAAAATCCCTGACATTCCACGGGAAAAATCTCTGTAACCACATAGAAAAATTCCTGGAAAAAAATCCCTGGCACTACAGGGGAAACTCCCTGGTAAAATTAAGGATCCAGGCCATGTGACCTCTGAATTCTCTGGGATCAAATCCTCCAGAATCCATAAAAATCATGGAATTAAAAAAATCCCCCCAACCCATAAAAGAGACCAAATCGGTTTTAACTCGGGGTTGGATTGGGAATCACCGGGAAAACTCGGAACAAAAGAGCCCCAGGAACGGGATTCCCCCCCTCCCACCTCCCCCCAAATCCCGGTGGGATTCCCGAGGTGGGGAATTCCCGAGGCCGGGAATTACCTGGGAGCGGTTGGAGCCCCCGCGGGGGCCGTTGAGGCGCTCGTAGAACCGGCGCTCGGCGTCGTCGTATTTGTGTTTGTCCAGCCAGACCTTGTCGTGCAGGAAATGATCCAGGGCCATTTTCCTGGGAAAAAAACGGACGCCCCCGGGTCAGGGAAGGAGCCGGGAAGGACGGGATTTGAGGGAAGGAGCCGGGAAGGACGGGATTCGAGGGAAGGAGCCGGGAAGGACGGGAACGGGGAATGGTCGAGGCGGGAAAGGGTTTGGAGGCGCCGGGATCGGCTTCGTTAATGAATTAATGCTCTTAATTAATGAACCACCTGCCTGAGCCGGGCAGGGGCGGGATAAGCTGATCCCGACCTTATTCCATAAAAAACCCTGCTGGGATTTGAGGGGGAGCGCCAGGGAAGGGGAATGAGAAAGGAATGGAAACATGGAATTAGGGAATGGTTTGGGATTAATGAACCACCTGCCTGACCTGGGCATGGATGGGATAAAATGATCCCAACCTTATTCCATAAAAAATCCCACCAGGATTTGAAGGAGAAGGGGAAGGAGAAAGGAATGGAGATGTGGAATTGTGGGATGGTTTGGAAACATGGAACTGTGGGATGGTTTGGGATTAATGCACCACCTGCCTGAGCTGGGCATGGCTGGGATAAGCTGATCCCGACCTTATTCCATAAAAAACCCTGCTGGGATTTGAGGGGGAGCACCAGGGAAGGGGAATGAGAAAGGAATGGAAACATGGAATTAGGGAATGGTTTGGGATTAATGCACCACCTGCCTGACCCGGGCAGGGGCGGGATAAGCTGATCCCGACCTTATTCCATAAAAAATCGCGGTGGGATTTGAAGGGGAGCACCAGAAAAGGGGGATGAGAAAGGAATGGAGATGTGGAATTGTGGGATGGTTTGGAAACATGGAATTGTGGGATGGTTTGGAGACGTGGAATTGTGGAACAGTTTGGGATTAATGAACCACCTGCCTGACCTGGGCATGGATGGGATAAAATGATCCCAACCTTATTCCATAAAAAACCGTGCTGGGATTTGAGGGGGAGCGCCAGGGAAGGGGAATGAGAAAGGAATGGAAACATGGAATTAGGAAATGGTTTGGGATTAATGCACCACCTGCCTGAGCTGGGCATGGCTGGGATAAACTGATCCCGACCTTATTCCATAAAAAATCTCCACTGGGATTTGAGGGGGAGCACCAGAAAAGGGGGATGAGAAAGGAATGGAGATGTGGAATTGTGGGATGGTTTGGAAACGTGGAATTGTGGGATGGTTTGGAGACGTGGAATTGTGGAATAGTTTGGGATTAATGAACCACCTGCCTGACCTGGGCATGGATGGGATAAAATGATCCCAACCTTATTCCATAAAAAATCCCACCAGGATTTGAAGGAAAAGGGGAAGGAGAAAGGAATGGAGATGTGGAATTGTGGGATGGTTTGGAAACGTGGAATTGTGGGATGGTTTGGAGACGTGGAATTGTGGAATAGTTTGGGATTAATGAACCACCTGCCTGACCTGGGCATGGATGGGATAAAATGATCCCAACCTTATTCCATAAAAAATCCCACCAGGATTTGAAGGAGAAGGGGAAGGAGAAAGGAATGGAGATGTGGAATTGTGGGATGGTTTGGAAACATGGAACTGTGGGATGGTTTGGGATTAATTAATGAACCACCTGCCTGACCTGGGCAGGGGCGGGATAAGATGATCCCGACCTTATTCCATAAAAAAAAACCCACTGGGATTTAGGGGTGAGCTGCTGGATCGGGGAAGGGAATGGGAAAGGAATGGAAAGATGGAATTAGGGAATGGTTTGGGATTAATGAACCACCTGCCTGAGCTGGGCATGGATGGGATAAGCTGATCCCGACCTTATTCCATAAAAAACCCGGCTGGGATTTGAAGGTGAGTGCCAGGGGAGAGGAAGGAGAAAGGAATGGAAACATGGAATTACGGAATGGTTTGGGATTAATGCACCACTTGCCTGACCTGGGCACAACTGGGATAAGCTGATCCCGACCTTATTCCATAAAAAACCCCGCTGGGATTTGAAGGTGAGTGCCAGGGAAGGGGAATGAGAAAGGAATGGAGATGTGGAATTGTGGGATGGTTTGGAAACATGGAACTGTGGGATGGTTTGGGATTAATTAATGAACCACCTGCCTGACCTGGGCATGGGCGGGATAAGATGATCCCGACCTTATTCCATAAAAAAAAACCCACTGGGATTTAGGGGTGAGCTGCTGGATCGGGGAAGGGAATGGGAAAGGAATGGAAAGATGGAATTAGGGAATGGTTTGGGATTAATGAACCACCTGCCTGAGCTGGGCACAACTGGGATAAGCTGATCCCGACCTTATTCCATAAAAAACTCTGCTGGGATTTGAGGGGGAGCACCAGAAAAGAGGGATGAGAAAGGAATGGAGACGTGGAATTGTGGGATGGAAATGTGGAATTCGGGGTGAGAAGGGCTGGAAAGGTGTTGTGGTTCCAACCCCATTCCCGTTTTCCAGAGGGAAGGATGTGCCGGGATCTCTCCAGACTGGACTCGGACGCTTCCAGGGATGGAAAATCCGCGGGTTCTCGGTGGGGAATTGGGATAATGGGCAGGAAAACTGGGAAGGGAGAGATCTGGAATGACGTGGGAAAATCTCTGGCGCTGCAGGAAAAAAATCCTGGAAAAAAATCCCTGGTACTCCATGGAAAAAATCCCTATGGAAAAATCCCTGGCACTAAGTGGGAAAATCCTGGTCACTACTTGGAAAAACTCCCTATGGAAAAATCCCTGGCACCACATGGAAAAATCCCTGGCACCACACGGAAAAATTCCTGGAAAAAAATCCCTGGCACTCCATGGAAAACTCCTTGCCAATACATGGAAAAAATCCCTGGCACCACATGGAAAAATCATGGGAAAAAAATCCCTGACACTCCATGGGAAAAATCCCTTTAACTACATGGAAAAATCATGGAAAAATCCCTGGCTCTCCATGGAAAAAATCCCTGTTCCTCCATGGAAAATTCCTGGTCACTACATGGAAAAAATTCCTGGAAAAAAATCCCTGGCACTACATGGGAAAATCATGGAAAAATCCCTGGCTCTACATGGAAAAAATCCCTGGCATTCCATGGAAAAATCCTGGTCACTAAAGGGTAAAAATTCCTGTGGAAAAATCCCTGGCACCAACTGGAAAAAATCCCTACGGAAAAATCCCTGGCATGACCTGGGAAAAATTCCCTGTCACTACATGGAAAAAATCATGGAAAAAATCCCTGGCATTATGTGGGAAAATCCTGGGAAAATCATGGAAAAATCATGGAAAAATTCCTGGCATTATGTGAGAAAATCCTGGTCAAAAAATGGAAAAAATTCCTGAGGAAAAATCCCTGTGACTACATGGAAAAAAATCCCTGGAAAAAAAACCCTGGCACTCCATGGGAAAAATCCCGGGAAAAAAAAACCCTGGCACCCCATGGAAATACATGGAAAATTCCAATACATGGAAAAATTCCTGGTAACTACATGGAAAAAATCCCCATGGAAAAATCCCTGGCATTACTTGGGAAAAATCCTTGTCAATACGTGGAAAAATTCCTGGAAACTACATGGAAAAATCATGGGAAAAAATCCCTGACACTCCATGGGAAAAATCCCTTTAACTACATGGAAAAATCATGGAAAAATCCCTGGCTCTCCATGGAAAAAATCCCTGTTCCTCCATGGAAAATTCCTGGTCACTACATGGAAAAAATTCCTGGGAAAAAATCCCTGGCACTACATGGGAAAATCATGGAAAAATCCCTGGTATTCCATGGAAAAATCCCTGGCACCACATGGAAAAATCATGGAAAAATCCCTGGCACTCCATGGGAAAAATCTCTGTAACTACATGGAAAAATCATGGTCACTACATGGAAAAAATTCCTGTGGAAAAATCCCAGGCATTCCATGGAAAAATCCTTGTCAATACGTGGAAAAATTCCTGGCACTACATGGG